CACTGTAACGAACAGGCAGCTTATCTATCTTCAGTCAGGAGACAGACCAAACAAGGAGCAGTCCCAAGAGGGGTTTTTTCAGACCAGAAGCTGCTTTTAATACCCTTCCTCTCAGGAGCCTGGGCAGGAAGGAGGTAGGGCAAGGGCTCCAGAAGGAATTCTTTCTCAACCCCAAGACTGAAGTAATGAGTAGTCCTAAGAGCAACCAGTGCAACCAGCAGGCAGCTATAGTGCATCATTTCCAGGGGTGGAGCCCAAACTGTAGTAGAACGCTTGGCCCTGCTCATCTAGACAGCATTTATCTCCAAGAGATTTCTTGAAATCCTAGCCAAGGAGGGCAATAGTCATCAGAACCTTCACTTTGCAAGGTAGCCTGCTCTCAGGACAGACCTTTGCTGTTCCCTTTATAAGGAACCAGGGCACAGGCAGTCATGCTTAATGGTTAGGCCACTGAGGGAAAGCAGGGCCTAGGGCTGGGTCAGAAGGCAGGAACCATATACCAAAGCCAGAGGGATATCCAGAAGCAGAGTCCACAACACAGTCCAGGGGCAGGTTCTGGGGGTCAGATGCCAAGTACCAATCTAGGGGGCAATCCAAAGGTTGAAGTTTATAAACAGAGCCAAACCAGGGTCAGGAGCCAGAAAACAGAACTGCAAGGAAATCCAAAGCTGAAGTCTGGAGATAAGCTGAAAACAAGGGTTAGGAACCAATGTGCAGGAACCAGAAGCTTGATACAGCAGAATTGTTGAGTGGCCAGTAGAGCTATGCGAAGCTTCGGTAGCTGATTCAATACAGAGGAGATTCGATGCGATTTGGTGGCCAAATCTCTGAATCTGAATTGAATCAGGAGACCCATTAAAAGGTCCAAATTGAATTGAAGTCTCCAAATAGGAAGCCTTCAGATCTTCAGAGTGGTGGAAAGGGCCTCTGGGGGCTTGTGGCAAAGCCCCCCCGCACAGCACAGGGCCACAGTGATCGCCTCCCTCTCTGCCTGGCACCCATGCAGCAGCTGTCACATCGCGCAGGTGCAGCACGGCTCAGCAGGGTGCCACGAGGCTCTGTGCACTGTCTGGGAGCTAGGGTCACTTGGGCTGAGTGCTGCCAGGCTCCGGATGACTGCTGGAGCTGCCCCAGCTCTGGGACAGTCTGCAGCGTCCTGCCACCAGAAGGCCCCAGAGCCCCCACAGCTGCTGCTACTGTTGGGAGTGCAGGGCTTTTTTTTTTTTTTTAAAGTGCGGGGATGCTGAGGCCAGACAGGGCAGCCATTGGGGGGCGGGGGGGAAGTGGGCAGGGGAGTGGGGTCCCACTTGCCACCGCCACACTCCCACCACCTGTTCAATTCAGATGAGATTTGGCCCAATTCAGCAGCCAAATCTCCGAATCCAAAGCAGCCAAATCGATTCAGGACAGTGATTTGAATCACTAAATTGAATCGCAGTCCCTCCGAATCAGCAGAATCCAAAGCCGATTCGAATACTTGGTGTTTTGCACAGGCCTACTAGCCAGCAGACCTAGGGCCCCAGCTGGTGCTGAATGGGTAATGGGTACCCCCAGCAACCAGTCAGGATGCTTGCTGCTCCTAAACTGGGGTAGAGTCCATTGGCTGGGGCTTGCTGTAGGTGTGGCTGCTCACCCTGGCCTGTCTGCTGAGTCCCTGACAGCACTGGATCCAGGCTGGTCTGCCTCATCAGTTCCCCTGAACCTGGTGGGTGGGACCCTCTGGTAGAGTATGGCCACTGAGCCAGTGAAAAGGCAGAAAGAGAAGCACAAGAGAGTGATGCATGTATTTCTATAGCTGCCTCCCCCTGCCCACTGTGAGTTTGGAAGCTTTGTTCAGCTTACTTTCCAGGGTGCTGTGCTGCTTCTGTGCCTACAGTCATAGATTCATAGATGATAGGGTCAGAAGGGACCTCAACAGATCATTGAGTCCGACCCCCTGCCCTGGGCAGGAAAAAAGAGTGCTGGGGTCAAATGACCCCAGCCAGATGCCTGTCCAGTAGGGCTGTGCAAAACAGCAGTGTTCCACTTCTACTTCCATTTCAATGGAACAGTGTTTCGTTTCAAGTTTTGTTTCATTTTGAAAGCACCGTTCGCTTCTGTTTCGTCAAAACAGTTTTATTGTTTTGATGCTGTTTCAATGTTTTGCCCATGGGCTATAATGGGAAGCATGAAACAGACTTTAACTTTGTCATTTCATGCCTGATTCTGATGAAACTTGCAGGGATGGTAGCCCCTTCTGAGGGCATGAAGCCTGCCAAGTTTCAAGGAGATCAGTGCAGGGAGTTCTAGGAAACTACACCTCAGGCTGCTGACAAGCAGGACACAGAGCGCAGGAGAAGCATCTTGTGATCTGACAAGCAGATCAGGGGCACACACCCCTGAGAGGAGTCTGGCACAGCCCCTGCAGCCTTCCTGAGGGTGCAGATGGGCCCTGATCTACCTGCTGGATCACAGGTGGCTGCTCCTGCTGCTTGGGACCCAGTGCTGGGGAACTGAGCCTGGCTGGGGGAAGAGCTTCCTGCTGTTGGACTCAGTTCCCAGTGGCTCGCAGCACTGGGGAACTCAGCTTGGCTGGGGGAAGTGCCTCCTCCAGCCAGGCTGAGTTCCTGGACCCTTTCAGCACTGGGAGCCAATCAGAGTGCAGCCCAGTGGTGTGAGGTGGCCAGAGCCGGTGCTGCAGTCCAATTGGCTCTGCTAGCTCCACGAAGTGCAGCTTGGTGGCGGGAGATGGGGAGAGCCAGGGCTGCACTTCCCGCCGGGCTGAGCCACATGGGGCTGCGGAGCCACTGGGAGCTCAGCCCTGGTTCTTCCCTGTCTCCCACCACTTGGTTGGCTGCTTTGAAATTCAAAACGTTTTAAAACTTTCAAAATGTTTCAACTGGCCTTGTTTAGCTTTGAGGCTGTTTTGAAGCTATTTGTTTCGTTTCAATTTTGCTGTTTCGCGCTCGCAATGAGTTGAAACAGCTTTGAAACAAACCAGCCGGTGAAGCTTCGCACATCCCTACTATCCAGCCTTCTCTTAAAGACCCCCAAGGTAGGGGAAAGCACCACCTCCCTTGGAAGCCCATTCCAAATTCTGGCCACTCTTACCACGAAGAAGTTCTTTCTGATGTCCAGCCTAAATCTGCTGTCAGTGTGTGACCATTGTTCCTTGTTACCCCAAAAGGCGCCCTGGTGAACAGAGCATCTCTGGTTCCTTGCTGCACCCCCCTAATGAATTTGTAGGTGGCCACAGGATCACTTCTCAGCCTTCTCTTGAGGAGGCTGAAAAGTTCCAGGTCCCTTAGTCTCTCCTCATAGGGCTTGGCCTGCAAACCCTTAACCATGTGAGTGGCCCTCCTCTGGACCCTCTTGAGGTTATCCACATCCTTCTTAAAGTACAGTGCCTAAAACTGGACACAGTACTTCAACTATGGTCCAGTCCTGTGAGCCACACAGGTGCTTTGGTTCAGAGATATGTCTGAGGAAAGTAATAGCTGGCTCCCAGATGGAGAGGCTGGAGTGCTTATGCATCCTTGTTTGGCATTTCAGTAGGCCTGCATAGTACCTCCACAGCACATATGCAAGACATGTCCTTTAAGCTCCTGTATGACCACACATGACACATGACATCCTGGGATGCTAGGGGACTGTGAGCTAACTTAAATCTGGAGGGGATCTAGGACAGAAGTTCAATAAACTGATTTAACCTTAATCAGTTAGATCTAATACTACATCCCTCCAGTTTTATCTTAAACCAGTTTTGACGAGTCTGAAGGTAGTTTACATGCACTGAACATCTGTTGTGTTACAGATTTGAACCAGTTTCTTATCACTTATACCAGTTTATGTGTAATTTCTGTCCCTAGCCAGGATGTCTAAGTGCCACTTACAGAGCTATTCCACCCTGCCTGAGCCCCTGGAAATCATGGATGTTATGTGTCTGTATTTTAGGCTAAATAGATTCTATGAACATAATAAAATAGAATTGTCTTGAGTAATGTCCTCTGAATGGATCCAGTCTGGGTTCTGCAATCCTCCCTCTGCTTTTCCACCAGGGGAAGGCAAAGGATCTTGGAGTCTATGGAGCAGTAACTCTGTCTGTGGCAAGCGGTAACAAGATGTCACTATAGTGCCATGAATGGCTGCTCTTATCACTTTTCCATGCTGCAGGTTACCTACATATGTGGAAAACTTGGCCTGAGGAGCCAGGGAAATGCTATAATGTGATGTCTTAGGAGCTGGAAAGGGTGATACAAGCAAGAAGTGGGGTCATAAAATAGTTGAATTGGAGGGGTAAGAGAGTCTCAAGCCTTGCATCTCAAGACTGCAGTGCAAGGCTGGATGTCTCTATGCCTATAACCCATCTCCAGTGTTTGTGGGGCAAGACAATGTACTGCTCTATCAGAAAATCCTGTGGGCCTGGAACCAGGCCAAGTGGCAGTGTTGCCTGGTTTCTTCCCCTATAGAACGGGCTCTTTCATGCTTTGAGGCAGCTGTCCAGCTGCTTGAACAGATCAGGGGCTCGCACCTCTGGGAGGAGGCTGGCACAGCCCTGTAGCCCTTCTGGGGGTGCGGGCAGGTCCCCAATCTGCCTGCTGGATGACAGGAAGCTGCTGCTGCCAGCTGGGACCGGTGCTGAAGCCAAGTAAACCCAGCTTCAAAACTTGAGATGTTTCAAAACTTTTAAAACGTTTTGAGTGCCCTTGTTACGTTTCAAAGCTGTTTTGAAGGCCTTTGTTTCATTTCAATTTTGCTGTTTCAACCTCAAAATGCATTGAAACAGCTTCAAAACAAAACACTGGATAAAATTTCACACAGCTCTAATGCACAGGTATGTTGTAGTCAAGCTTTGCTTCAAATAACTTCCTTACATCTTGTGTAGATATAGAAACAAGCAATCACCTATATTGTAGGGTTGCAAAATCCAGCCCTCACCAAGTAGGAAACATCTGAATTAAGGTGCCTATACCTTTTCTGGTATGCTTTATGATGCAATTTAGGACTGCCCCATCATGTACGTGCTCTGGTTTCTCTTCAGATTGCAAAAATCTTTCGCCTTTTACTAAAGATTTCTGTGGAGAGGAGCGCTCATTAGTTCCACTTGACTCTTGCATCATTTAAATGTACAGGATGGAGGGTACTCAATGTAATGAGCAGCTATTCAGGCATCCAATAGGGAGTTCTTTCACTGCTATTTAGGGCCTGGGCCTGTACTTTATTTTCTGTTAGAGCTGCTCAGGAATTTGTCAACAAAAATGGCCAGAAAATGCAAACCTGTCAAAACCAAAATATTTTGCGGAAACACATCAGTAATAATGAACTTCTGAGGAACAGGTTTCCTGACAACTCACCCTAGGGTTCCTCCTCAATCTAGCTTCCAGGATCTGTAGCTGACACAAAGCTCTGCCATGTGAACTGCTCTGGGGCCAGGAACTTCAGGGAGCCTTGTGTGCAAGGTAGCCCTGACATGAAGGCTACCTGGGATCAGGGACCCTAAGCCCTTCTGCTGTGGAGTTGGGGGCTTGGAAGTCCTGGGGTTTCTGCCCCAGCCTTGCAGCAGGGGACCTAGAAACCCAGAGAACCCAAGTAAAAAGGCAAGAGGAAAGTGATAACAGTTCAACTTAAGACATCTAAGTCCCAAGTTTTCTGAGTTCTTAACCACTTGGCAGTGTATACAACACTTTGTAAAGTCAAAGATCACTCTCACAGATTCCAGTAAACTGTGAGGCCTCAGCACTTCTGCAAATCACACATTAAGAGGTCTCCCAGGAAAATGAGGAAAATGCAATGGCCAACCACCCCTGAAAAGTTCAGTTAGGTGACCTGCCCAACACCACCCAGGAGCTCTAGCAGAGGCTGGGATAGAATCCAGGTCTCAGCTGCTGGAACAGAGAAACTGTTGTTTCTCTCCCTGCCACTCCTTACTGTATCCACAACCCATCTTCCAGCGTCTGCTGCAAATGAACAGCCTCCTTCACACACAATGCAAATTATGCACTTTTTGAAAAAACATTTAACATTTCAACAACTTAATTAATGCTGTTCTGGTGTTTCTATTAGGCTAAGTACAGACCATCAAAAAGCCTGAGTCTGAATCAATTTAGTCTTTGCAGGTTAGTCTAAGCTGCAAAGATTGACCCAATTTGCAAGTGAATAAATATTCAGTTTTGATTCAGGAAATGGAGGCACATATCTTCAGTGGCTCAAGCCAGAAACTGGAGGAGGGGTGGGGGGCACATGCTACAGCACACCTCTCAGCTTGCCAGCTCCAAGGCTTTTCCCCACTCCCTGCTCAGTAGAAGGTGGTGTGATCAAGCCCCAGCCCAGAGCTAGCTAGAGGGTTCACTTGGGCAGGGGGAGGGGGACAGCACCTGCCAGGCTGAGGAGGGGGTGGGTGGAGAAAAAGGTAGTGGCACTGAATTCATAAAAGTTTGAACAAGCATAGTCCTTTCTCTGAAGCGAGCATGTATTGAACAGAAGGGAACAACCATGCAGAGTCCTGTAGGCTGTGATCATGGGCTACAAATCCCAGAGGCACCTGGAAGTAGGAAAAAGAAGTGATGAGCAACCCTGCAGAATCCTGCTGCTGTGGATCTAGACTGCAAATCCCAGAGACCTTGCGGGCAGCAGGAAGAGGAAGTGAACACACAGCCTATGCTGGGGAACTCTGATTTAGTTTTAACCAGGTCTGGGACAGAAGTTTAATAAATCAGTTTGACCTATATCAGTTAAGTCTGATACTATATTCAACCAGGTTTATCTTAAACCAGTTTCAGCCATTTTTAAACTGGTTTATGCATAGGTGACATGTGGCGGGGCACAGAGGGGCACAGGCCCACCTGTAACTGGGGAGGCTGTCAGGGCCGATTTACCTTTGGCACGCCCACCTGTTTCTGAGCCAACCACCCACCGTCTCACCTGCCATGCCTTGTTCTTAATTAATTAATGATCTTAATTATGCGGGAGCCTGCCCATTTCTTGCCCCGATGCCAGGGGGTGCTATCTGTGGCTCCGTACCTCCCCTACACCACAGCCCATGCCTCGCAGATGGCATCCAGCTGTTACTCTTGCCGGCCCCACACTGGGCCCCAGAATCTTCCTATCAGGACCCCTCCAAATTCCCTCCATTCAGGCAGCCTACCCCACCCTCATTCAGGCTAACTAGCTCCCTGAAACTATTTTCCCCTCTCAGGTGTGGTCCCTTCCCCTGGGACCTTTGGCCACACAGGCCCTGGCCCCACCTCCAAGGCCAGTCAGCTCCAGGCACTCCAAGCTCTGGGCATCCCTCACCGTGGGCCCCTGGCCCTTTTGACCATTCTGGTCCTGGCCTCAGCCTGGACCAGTCGAGGGTACCTGGCCTGGCATTTCCTGGGGGATCCTGCACCACTGAGAGCCCCACCAACCCACCCACTCCTGGCAGGGTGTAGTTTTAGGTCATGCCCAGGACCAGGAGCCTCCTGAACCATCCTCTACACCTCCTCCCTTACCTTTAGGGTGTTCCAAGAAGCCTCACGGCCAGGCGATGTTGCTGCCTGGCCAGCCAGCAGGGAACTGAACTATTTATATAGGCAGCCAGGGTCAAAATGCCTGCCACAGTCAAGCATCTGCTGGCTGCTCGGCTCTGGTCTTAAAGTGGCAGGCACAAACAGTGCCCTGCCACACCACACCTGAGAGTGGCCACCACCAAAGTCGCCGCCGGTTTCTGCAGGCAGTTGCTGCCCCCCCCGGTAATGCAGCAGCCAGTGGCTGCAGGCAGTCCCCACTTGCCGCTTGCCACCACTGACAGCACAGACAACGTCTGTGGGTGGTCCCTGCTCGCCACCCGTGCCCCCCCTGCTGTTGACACTGCCATGACCGCCTGTGGGCGGTCCTCACTTGACCTGCCCTTGCTGCCGACATCACTGCCACTGCCTGCAGGTGGTCCCTGCTTGCCACCACCATACCACCGATGCCACCGCTGCCACCACCACCTGCGGGTGGTCACTGTGCCCCACAGCCTCCGGAGGCATGCATCGTTCATGGGTTTATGTGCACTGAGCTTCTGTTCTGTTACAAGTTTAAACCAGTTTTTGAAGACTTAAACCAGTTTATGTGTAACATCTGTCCCTAGCTTTAGTGAATAATCTAAAATTAGCATAATTTGTTATGGTTTTCACAGGGTGAAAATACCGTACACATACAGTACCGGAAAAACCTTAAACCCAATTGAAATAGGTTATATGATTGATTATAGCAGTACAAATACTTTTGTCTCCACGTTTGAATATGTTCATATAGCATAGAAGAAGCTACCTCTGGAAGAAACCTGTAACAACCATCACCTCTATCACCAATTTGCTGCATACCCACATTGTTTCATTTTTCTGCTCTGTTTTTCCTATCTGTAAAATAATGAGCCCTAATAGCAAAGCTTTTTGAGATCTAAGACTGAAAATCACCACACACACACAACAGTGGTATCATTAAACACTTGGCATTGAAACATGCCAATTGCTGTCAGAGCATTAGCAACTGGTGTATTTATGATTTCCAAACCTTTCCATGTATAGTGTGCTGAGATGCATAGTGTTCCTGCTAATATACTTATTCTTTCTTTTCCAGTGAATATACTTCTACATTTTAAAACAATAGTGCTTTGCTCCAAGCAGTGTGTTGTTTTGTTTTGTTTTGGTTTGGTCTGTCAAAGAGAAGTATTGCCTTTAGTGTTTGAGATTGTATCATTCTGATATAATGTTTCACAGCATGCACATCTCTGGAAAACCAATGAAAATGTCTGGGATTTGGTACTCATATTTAACTGTTCATTACATACATCTGTCCTACATGTATATCTTTCCATTGCCAGTTCTTTACACAGTGACAGTTTTTTCAAAAGAAAAAAACTCTTTGCCTAGCAAGAAATGTGTTTTCCCCCTTCACAACTGAGCATCTGTTTTAAATCTAATCATGTTTAAATATTCATTGTGGAGTAAGACTGGAGAGAAAGCATTTGTGCCACATAAATAATTTGTGCTACTGCGTTTGGTATATATTTTAGATTTATGCTGCATGTTGATTTTGCATTGATTTCTCACCCTCTACGGGTAAATACTCAATTTCCTACATATTTATCTTTTCTAAAGAGAGAGTGCCCCTGTTACATACCTCTAGGGAAAGTTATAGCAAACATTTTAAAACACAGGCTAGAAACTAGTTAAATTGACATAATGGGCTAGCTGCACAGCTGGTATAGCTCAGCTTGGCTCCAATAGAGCTACTCTTATTGGCACCAGCTGAAGAGCTAACATTGTATCAACAACACTGAAATGACTGACAGTGACTGAACTACTGAAAAGGTTTAAAGCAGTGGTTGTCAACCTGGGGTATGCATACCCCTAGGAGTACTTAAAAAGGTTGTAGGAGGTATGGGGGGGTGGGGGGTAGAGCTCCCATCATTGCACACACGGCAGCAGAGAGCCAGGGGACACGTGCCCCTTGATCTGTGCACAGGGTGAAGGTGGCTGCTGCTGTACACTGGGCTTTATGTGCTGCTGCAGCTGCCCTGAGAGTGGTGTGATGCCATGTGCTTGCCTCCACCAGGCTGCCACCACCTGGAAGGATGCACATGAAGTCGCACCACTCCCAGGGCAGCTGCAGTGGTGCGCAAAGCTCAGCGTGCAGTGGCAGTTGCCTCTGCCCCACACACAAATCAGGGGGGCACATACTCCTCAGGTCTTTGCCAGGGTACGTGCACTGGCGGTAGCCCCCTGTGCCCCGGGATGGGCTGCCCAGGCTCCAACTGTCTCATGACCCTGCTTGGCCAGGGCCCCATTCACCTGTGCCCCTGCCCCTGTCTGTGCCCCACCTGCTTCTTCACTGCAGGGGCCTCGATATGCCCCCCACCCACAGCCCTTTCCCCACAGAGTTACCTGCTGGGGGGTGGTGTGAACATGCATGCACACACTCAGCCCCCCCACCAATAATTTTAATATAAAAGGGTACATGAGCTGAAACTTTGAGACAGAGGGGGTACACTTGTTAAACAAGGTTGAACCCCACCTGGTTTAAAGGATCCCTGACCCTTGTGTTTGCCTTCTATAGAGTAGCATATTTCATTCAGCTCAGTTAATGATTACTGTCTGTAACAGAATAA